AAGCCAATCAGAAGCCTGCGTTTCTATACGAACGCCACTACCAAGAAAACCTATCATCCGTGCAGGCCCTCTATCACAGAATAGATAATAGGACCAGAAGTCTTACTCAAGCGGAAACATGTCCCATCTTTTATACTGCGCATGCGCGAGCTAAACAAGTGTAATGCAGTGTTGACAATAGAAAATTATATTGGAAGTTGTCATTTCTACAGTAAAAACAGCTTTTTTTTCAAGTAGTACGAATTGTGACTTCGATTTATCTGTGGAACTATTTGAACAGAAGGTAAAGCAGTAATTTTGCTGTATTTAGAAAGCAAACAGGGTCATATTTTTAAAAATATAGCGCACTGAATATAAATTCGAGCATCATTAAAATGTGTTCGCTATGATGCCATTTTGTCTCCGGTATATACGGAGTTCTGCTTTTATACTTGTGGATATTCGAATTTATTTGGCTCAAAAACACCATTACTTCAATATCCCTTTCTTGTTTTTCCTTGGATAGGTTTTAACAAGATAGAACTCTAGATCACTTGGGTCCAAAGACGCTAGATTATAAAATCCTGATGTGACTTGATACTACAAATAGAATATGTCTTATGATTTAATACTACAAATAGAATGTCTTTTAAGTACAAACTTCAATGAATTGATAAAGTGTAAGGATAGTGTTTAAAGTCGCTTCATGTGTAGAAGCTGAATTACTTTAGTTTATACACTGTATATTGTCGAGATCACATGTTGATATGACTTAATGCTAGCAACTTGCAATAAGTGGTCTGTTCTGCTTGTTTATAATACTTTAGAGTTTGGACATTAGAACATTGTAATTGCCTGACAGAGACTGTTAGGGCCTGTTTGTATGGAAGCCGGGCTGGCCCGCTTAGCAAGACAGTCTGGTAAGGTAGTTAAGCAGGATGATTTCTCTTGTGTTTATTTGAGAAAATTTCATTCCGCTTACCAGGACAATTTTGTTGTTTTGACATTATTTTGACAGTTGTTAAAAATAGCTTGCGGCAGTATCTTTGAACTTTCATCCCGGCTAGCCTGCTTATGATTGTTTATGTGGAGAAATTTCCATCCTGGTCTTGGCAACCGGGCCTGCCCGCTTGTCCATAGAAATGATAATTTGTACTATAAAAATAACTAGACAGCGAGATCTCACTTACCGGGCTGTCTCACTTAGCGGGCCAGCCAGTTTCAATATAAACAGGCCCTTACACAACTGCTAAAAGCTGCAAGTTTCTTTAAAGCAATATCATCTATATCACAGAATACAGTTTCTGTAGTGACTCTCATTGTAACTCAGTAGTCTCAGTTATTCCTTCTCAAGAAAAATAAAAAAACAAAGCTGTGTGGGTGTGTTTTTGCTCTAGCTAGTTTTTACATTTACATGGTTCATGTACAATTAATGTACATTTAGATTAGCTTTGTTCAGTGAATACAGGTGTGATTCAAATATCATTCCTGTCAGGTACTTGGGTCAAATAGACATAAGCATACCAAATCATGTTGTGAATTGAAATACAAGTATAGGGTGTGTATTGTTTAATAAATATATTTTCCAGTTAACCCAGTAAGCTGCATTGTGCCCCAATGCACCCTACTTTACTAGTTTATTTCACTTCATCTAATGCCAGATGATTTTACTTATCGAGGGAGAGTGCTGCTGCTCATTGAGCTCTGATTGAGTTCACTGAGTGGCAGCACTTTCCCCTTGACAAGTGAAATTGTCTGGCGTTAGACAGAGTAAAATAATCTTGCGTTTAATCAAGCAGCTACTTTTTCAAAAGCTCAACCAGGCTAAAGATTCTTTGATTTGAAAACCAAAGTGATAGTGAACTAGTTAGTTGAAACAAACAGAATTGTTTGATTTATTTACTTCCCACAACATTGACAATTAAAATTTAATTTGATACTTTTCCAGTATATTGACATTATATAGGTTCAGATTTGATTACCATTAAGGGACCATCAACCAATCAAATGCATTTGATATATTCGATCAACCATTATAATGAAAGTGTGAGTTTATTCATAAACTAATTATAAATCAACTTCCATGCAATGCTTCATGCAATCATCTAGTTATGCACCAGTCAATGTAAATCCCTGCCCCCAACCGGGGAGGGGCGGAAGGTTTAGCAGGGAAAGTAGTCAGTTTTGATTATAAATTTGTCCCCGATGATGGGAGACTTGGACAGTGGTTAACATATATATCCTGTGTTGCTGTTTTAGTTTTCTTGACAAGAAAAGTTTAAATACAACAACATAAATGAATTTGATTTTCTATTGCTGATCTATGATAATTTCGCTCGTTATGGGTGGGGATAATTTCGCTCTTTTACTACCCCTCCAAGTCAAAATCCCTGCCCCTCCCCGGTTGGGGGGTTTACATTGACTGGTGCATTAATTAAAGAAGTGTCAGTGCCACATATGTAGTAAAAGCCAACTTGTCAGTAAAGGCCACAGAGCAAGATTGTATTTCAAAGACTGCCAGTGACAAAAACAATTGATAGTCCTGAAATAGAGTATGCCAACAGTTAGTATACTGCAAATAACTATTCTATCAACAAGATGGGTGTGTTTTACAAGTGTTTTTTATATATCAATCCAATGGCATGTAACCTAAAATTCAGCAGTGTCTGTGTAATGAAATACACCCTTACTTCTCAATGGTCAAATTAACTATACTACATTGTGTATAACAATATATGGACTGGTTCAAAAATATATTGAATTTATAGGGAGCATTCATTTTTTAGCTGGGGGGGGGGCAGGAGGAATTTGGGGGTGGGTCAGCCAATTTTGACATGCTTCAAAGGGGTGGGTCTTTTTATAGTTTTGGTATAAATGGAGGGGGTCATAAAAATCAGTGAAAAAATCACCAATATAATTTTATAGAATTTGGAAATATTTGGATCAAGAATGGTAAAAAGGTCTAGAATCTATCAACTATCTCGTCATCTATAACAATGAAGCAAAACTCATTTGATGCTCTGTTCACACATTCCATAGGAAAACATTTCCATGACGTTCGTCAATTGACCTCGTTTTTATCCGTTTTTGTGTGAAAACATGAATGAAAGAAAATGCAGGACCGTAGCATGATTTCAAAATCATGCATGGTTTCAAGGTCTGCATGACTTCAAAATCATGCAGACCTTGATCAATTTTAAGCTTTATTAATTTTAAGCGGCTACATTATCCATGACAAACTGCAAAGAATGAAGATAGTACCCACAGTTTCTTGCAAATTATCCTAGTTATCTAATATATAGTAAATTAAATACGCCTTCGCCCATTTAGTACTACCAAATTGTCAATTTCGACATACTAAAACGCTGTTTTCTGACCATCAGAATTCTGTCAAATCTTCCCCCAAAGGCCAGGAAATGGCATTTCAAAGACTCTAGATTTAAAAATTTCCTCGGGCCTTTGGCCCTTGCTTTCAGCCCCCAATCAAAAAGAGCTTCCTACGGGCCTGAAACGCTATGGAAACAACACCGTGTGGATTAATAGTTAGGATGAGGGGTCAAAAAATTTTCAGTAAAAAAATAGGGGGTCATAATTTTATATCAACTTTTGTCTTGGGGGTTCCAAGTTTTCGCATGGAATTAGACATCAGTTCCTCCGGCCCACCCCCCCCCCCAGCTAAAAAATGAATGCTCCTTTAGTGAACTATTGATGTAGAGATTTAATATGCCAAGTATAGAATGGCACAAGGATTTTCATGTTATCAGCATGATTAAATCGTGAGATTGTGCAAATAATCTGTGTAAATCTCTTAGAGATATCCTCAGTAGCTACATTTTAAGGTAAAATAACTATGGTAAAGCTATTCAAGGCAAAAAAGCAATGGATCTGTCAACCTCGTTGTCAACAGTAAATTTAGCTAAGTTTATGATCCATTTATTGCCGTATTTTAGCTGAGAATTCATTTAAGACAATGCAATACGATAGACTTACCTTTGAATTTATCATATATTCTTTTAAAATGGTCACCAAAGCTCTAAAACTCGATTGGTATCGTTTTAACTTTCTCACAGCTTAATGTTTACATGTAAATTTGTCAAATTACACTTGTTTAGGGCACTGGAAACGAGACACGGCCAAGATGCGCGAGGCGACATGCGCGGGGACATCAACATCAAAGATTCCGACATCGAGTGAGACTTCTGGTCTTATTATTTATTTTGTGGCCCTGGTAAAGGCTGGTGAAATAATCCACAAATTGTGGATTATTTTGTCACGTGATATATCGGAGCAAATACTATACAGGGGGGTGCGATCGCGGATCGCTTTAGCTACAATATATTCGTCAATATTGCATAAACACCGAAATCGACAAATAAAGAACAAAAATCTATTTTAAAATGAAAAAATCTGTTAAAGTTCTTCCAAAAATATTGAATAAATCTGAAATTGTCTTCAAATTAGCTCTGAGAACCTTGGTTGAACTGTAAAGGAGATCTATTAAATAGACAAAGCAACAGTGTCGAATGGATCGATAGAAGTATTTATACTATGAATTACTGTCGCAAGGAAATTGCTGCCTCGATTGTGAAACAGATATGTAAAATCACTTTAATTTAATAATATGAACTCTCAATACACCATATCCATGATCATCAAAACATTTAATAGTTATTGTTGCTACAATAGATCTTTCTTGCAAATGTCAATATCATACAGTATATTTATAAACAGTTAAAGGGAGTACAAGGTCCAAAGAATGTCTGAAAAACAAAGATTGTCAACATCGTATGCACTTGGAATTTAAATGCTTATGTTAGCCATATGCCCTGCGTAATAACCTGGTTGACCTCCATGGTTAATTAACATTTCCTGAATTTAATTGAGTTGAAATATTTTATTTGATTTTCATTCTTATCGCAAGAACATATTGTGAACACACATATAGTGCTTTGGGTTTAGATTTCAAAGGCCAAGCTTCAAAACAAATTAGTCCATCACCTGAGGGAGTTCTAATACTCATCTCAGGGGAACAAACGAAACTGATCGCATATGAAAGCTTAGCGTTTTAGCTTTCAAAAAATGTCTTGGCGGACGTTCAGAACGGTAGCTTTCCTATAGAATTTCGACTTTGAAGTGACGTACTTCGAAGCAGTGAACGGCCGCCATTTTGTCTCTCAGAGAAAATCCCGCCTAAGAATATTCAGACATAAACAACCCAAAAGGTGTTAAATAAAGGTCTCACCTCAAAGACTTGTAGCTGCATGCTTTATACATCTTTTGACATACTTAGAACTTTTTATTTGATCATTTCTTTAAAGTTTAACGTAATTAAATTTTACTTTAACGTACCTCTTCCCCTTCGTTGACGAACTGTTCAGTGTATGCTGTCAATTGTTAATTAATTTAAATGAAAATTGAAAAGACTCGAAATTTTTACCAACTGTTGGCATAGGGTTTATAATGAATGATGATCCCCCCCGCCTTTTTTCTGTAAAGTCTTGTGACCCATCCCCTTTTTTTACCTATCCACCGCTTCGATAAATAATGACCGGTACCTTATGTAGAATTGCAATGTTTAAGAGTTATTTCATTCCCATTGTTGCATGTGGTTCAATTAATCATTCTTCGTTTTGTTTGTTGACAAGTATCGTTCATTGGAAGTACTTTCTTTATTTCTAAACATATATAAATGAAGTATAAATTGATGATAGTTTGTTACTGTTGATTTTAGAATTATTCATAAAAATGAGTGAAACGTTTTGTTATTTGTTTAGCGAAGTTATACACTCGCTCAACTGCCAATTTGTTCTCTTTTACGCTTTGGTATCAAAATTTTGCAAACTGTAGATCTCTTCTCTTACCTTTTAACATGTGTATTAGTCATCCTCATCGTCGCCATCGGCGCTGAGAACTGTTTCATCATCTTCAGATTACATATTATCACAATTCAAACTGCACATCTCGGTGCACTTGAGACCTGCTTTGAGGCAGCAGCATGCATCTTCTGTACACCTGCGTTTGCAGGTGCAGGAAAGTAGCTCCATCACTTCAGGGGCGGGCTTCGAACCAAGCCATATAAATTCTAAAGTGGAAGAGCTCACGTTCCAGCCATGCCCATGCGGAGAGGGGATATCAGGACACGCTTCTGTAGCTCTCCTCCAGATAGCAGCCTGATAGTTTGCACGAGACACATGCAGCCGCAACGATGACTGACATGGCGGCAATGCTTCTGGCGCGACCTTGCCACCTTTCTCATATCGCAATGAATCCACACTCTTACCCTTCTTTCCGTATAAATGACACACAAACTCTTCTGTTGCGCTAAATGTATCATCGTCTACACTCCATTCCTTGCCAATGTCTTTCATTGTCTTCACATAGATATGATTCTTGACGAGCATCTGTATTGGCCGCAATTTGCCCTTCGAAGAGAAGGCTACACTGTGTCGCAACCTGTTAACGCATGTAGCCCCATTAAAGCCTCACAAGCTTCTTGTTTTGTAATTCCATCTGCTACTTGCCTTTCCAGTTGATCAGCAATCTCAGAGATCCCGACAATTCTACGCTTTGATCCATTTCCCTTCTGCAAGTAGCACTTGCCCAGGTTGTCGGCGTGGCCAATGAGTAGTATCATAACGTCCGTATCTTCTGAGTGGATGACACACTTGCCACCTGCATGCTTGGCGTGTAGGACCATACGGGTATCAGCCTCTTCGTGGTTGCTTCTCAGCTCTGGTACTACTCTGGCCTC